TCTTCTTCGTCTTCGAGAATGTTGCCACCTCTGGCAAGTCGGACGAAGAAAGGGCATCTGAACTCCTTCGCTACCTGGAGGGAGATGCATTAGACTTCTTTTATCAAGCCTTTGTCCAGAACGGAGATATCAGTGCAGATGGCTCCGACTACCAGAAGGTCAAGAACGTCTTGGTCGAGCGGTTCGCCCCGGTTGAGTCACCTGAAGATGTGATTCGGGATGCGATGGCCGCTCGCCTTTCTTTCGGTGATTTCAGTGGGTCCCTTCGAAACTCAGACCGTCTCTACGAGAAGGCGGGATTCAACGACGAAGCGAAGTTTGGACTGCTTCGCAACACCGTGATGGAACATCTCGAGTTGGCCCAGTTTGCTATCTATCGAGGTGCGAAGACCTACAAGGCCCTATTCGATGCAATCATGGACTTCTGGTCTGGTCGCTGCGCCTTTCAAGCGGCGGCGAACTCCTTGAGTAATTCGCGCTACCAGGGGTCAGAGAGCTCGCACGGTATGAATGAGCCGAGAGGGCAAGGTGGGTCAAAAAGGGTCATGATGCCTTCAAAAGCTCCCTTGTCTCCACTCGAGACGAAGGTTGACGCTTTAGCTGATCGACTAGCCGATATTTCCCTTATTATCAAGAAGAATCAGTCGAGGGATGACGCAACAGCATTCCGCCCCGCCCACGATCGTACTTGTTCTTATTGCAAACGACCGGGTCATGGCGCTAATAGATGCGATTCGAATCCGCATAGGGACACGAAATGCCCTCGCTGCGGAAAATTTGGTCATTCAGAGACAAGCTGTTGGGCTAGAATTGCTCCACAGAGGGGAGGTAGCAGTGCCTACCCTCCTAAGAAGACCCAGACGGATATTGCCGTGTCGGGTACACAGACGGGCTCCGCAGGAAACCAGGTGAGTGTTGTGACGCACGACGACCTCCCTGCTGATGAGAAGTTAGTGGCATCAGTCAAGAGAAACGCCGATGGAGAGCCGGTGGCCAAGACGCGAAAGGATGGTGGCGGCGAGCCAATCCCGTCCCTTCTCAACCCGCGTAAGTACTGGACTCTGAACCACATGAGGAAACCTCCTAAGCCCGGCCGTCGAACAAGAAAGAAGAGGACAAGTAAGAAGAACGCCGTCCAAGAGCACTCGGGGAAGTACGATGTGGTTTCGTCCCTCGCCAACGCCCCCTCTGGTTTGACATTCGGTCAACTGATTCGAGGAGATGGCGACGAGGCTAAGAAAGAGATCCGTCGTTTGTTCAACAGTCGCCCTAGACGCCCCGTAGCTGCTTCGATCGGTACTTTGCCGAAACGTCTGAAAGTAGTTTCTGTACAAGTCTACGGGACACAAATGAGAGCGTTGTTAGACTCAGGAGCTATCCCTAATGTTATGAATGCGTCTGTGGCATCGAAGCTCTCTCTGTCTCCAAAGCCGACCTCGACGAAGATTACGGTCGCCAATGGACAAAAGACAACCTGCCTAGGTTCCATCGAGGAAGTTCCTGTCACGTTCAATGGCGCTGTTACTTCACTCAACTTCTTGGTTGTTGAAGGATCCCCAGTTGATATCTTAATCGGGTATCCAACTCTCGAAGAACTTCAAGCCGCATCGATCTAGGTCACCAGTCTGTTAGTATGTTGATCGGAAACAAAACCGTGAAAATGAGTCTGGAGTTTGATCAAGTAAGTCCTATCGTCGCGGATTCGGAGACTGATAGTGAGGACTTCACTTCTGATGTCGAGTCTTTCGCCTCAGAAAATTCGTCGGAAGAAGAGACCTATGTTGTCGCCATCCTCGGCGATGAACCTTTCGAGCTAGACTTAACTCTGGACGACGCGATCGGAGAAAATGAGGAAGTAGAATCACCTGATTCGAATGTCATCAACAAGGCCGTGAAAATGCTTCGGGAAAACTTGTGCATCTTGACAATGAAGCACAAGCAGTCATCGAGACCGCCCTGATGGGTAAGAGTATCGTTGCTACATCCCTTGACGACCTTCGGCCTGCTGAAGTTCCAATCAAGCACCATTTCGAGTTAGATGATACTAATCCGATCTATCACTCGGCGAGGAGAATGGCTCCCTTGCATAACGAAATCGTTCGGAAAGAGTTGGACAAAATGCTGGAAGCAGGAATCATCACGCCTTCCAGCGCCGCATGGTCCTTTCCGGTCGTCATCGTATCCAAAAAAGATGGGAATCAACGCTTCTGTGTTGATTACCGTTCTCTGAACCAGAAGATGAAAGCAGACAGATGGCCTTTGCCGAAAATAGAATAGATATTTGATGACTTGGAAGGAAGTGCGTACTTCACTTCTCTGGATTTGTTCAGTGGTTACTGGCAAATTCGGATGGCACAACAATGCAAAGAAATGACTACTTTCGTCTGTCGCTACGGGACGTATAAGTTCGAAGTCATGCCCTTTGGATTGATGAATGCGCCTTCGACATTTCAGAGAATGATGGATACAATCTTTCGCGGAGTGCGGTTTGTGCGTGTTTACCTCGATGACGTTGTGGTGTTCTCTAAGACTATAGAAGAACATCTTCGCCACCTGCAGCATGTATTTCATGTGCTTGACGAGGCTGGTCTTAAGCTTAAGCTGACAAAGTGTAGCTTCGCCCAGGCGAAGATCAAGTTGCTCGGTCATGTTGTCGACAAAGACGGGACTGCCGTTGACCCGAGCAAGGTCGAAGTGATTCGGAATGCACCGATCCCGACCACTACGACTGAACTTAGGAGCTTTCTCGGGTTAGCAAGTTACTACCGTCGTTTCATCTGCAAGTTTGCGGACATTGCTGCGGTACTCCATGCGGCTACATCCGGAAACGGCAGATTGAAATGGACCGGAGAAATGCAAGAAGCCTTTGATGAACTACGCATAAAGTTAACTTCTCCGCCAGTCTTGGCTTATCCAGACTTCGAGAAGCCCTTCGTCGTTGAGACGGATGCGTCATCGGTCTCCGTCGGGGCTGTGTTGGCTCAAAAGAAGGAAGATGGGAAAATACACCCCATCCAGTACGCAAGCCGTACTATGAATACCTCTGAGCGCAAGTACTCCGCTTGTGAGCGTGAGGCGCTTGCGGTTATCTTTGCTTTGAAGAAATTTCGTGTTTACGTGCTTTCGTCTACACCTTTCAAGTTGATTACTGATCACCAGGCTCTTAGTTACGCCTTTCGCAAGAAAGACATCCACGGTCGTTTGGCTCGTTGGCTAGACTTCTTAGCCGAGTACGACTTCACCGTGGAATATCGTCGTGGATCCGCAAATAGTGCAGCTGACTACCTTTCTCGCATTCAGCCCAAGAACGGCGACAACCCAACTTGCCAGGAAGAGGGAGACCTTGCCCTCGCTATCAAGACCCCGATCTACCCTCCACAAGAGTACCATGTTGACAGCTAAAAAAGGGAGCTGTCGCGCGCCGAGAACACATAACAAGTTGCAAACGGCAGTTGGGATGCATAGATCAGTTCGATCTTGATAGGGAGTAGCACCAAGGTTGTGGATATGGAAAGAAGACGCCAAAGAGCTCTCTGAGCGGGCACCGGAAGTGGACATTGCCAACCAGCGCCCTGGATACTTCTGGCACCACTCATCAATAAGAAGGTAAGCTGACACGCGGTCTCTGCCGTTCGTGTAGAACTTGTCGTTCTGGATCTGGTGGCCCGAAGATTTGTTCCCACCACAGACTTGTAGGGTATACAGCAGAATGGGGTGCTTCGACTTATCGCATGCGTCGATGGCGACGTACTTATTTGCGAGTCTATCGTAGCAGATAGACTCAATATTCCAAGCATCATCCTCCACGTGATCATAAGCACGCTTATCGTCAATCCATTCAGTCAGCCCGACTCGGGAAAATTCATCTACCGAGACCCCGTGCTTTCCTTGCGCACCTAAGTGGATGACCACATGTCGACCGAAAAGGCGGACCATTTCCGTCAAATCCAAGTTATACCTTGTCAGATTCGGTCCAACCCAAACATGGTACGGAGAACGAGGCGAAGCTTCTTCATTCTTCGACACCTTCATTACGTCCGTTCTTTGCGACAATAGCCACATTATCCTCTCACGAGCGTTGTGCTCTTCAACGGATACTCTCGCCGCCTTCGACGCGATATGTTTACAGGGGGCCTTGCCGCTAGTACTACGGCGCGCCGTCTGCTTGGTTTTCGCCATCCTCCTCAGATCAGCTTTCTTGCAAGGGGCAGACCCGAGGATTAAAACCTCACCTAAGTCCGCCACACAAGCAATCAGCGATCTCTGAGACTGTAAGCAATTAGAACCTGACGCGTCGACAGGTTCTTCAAGAAAAAAACGCAGGAACACCGAGGTTAGTTGTGTGAAAAGTAGAGAAGGTGGGTAGGATAATGATAGAAGTGATAGCTTACAGTGATGATGAGCTGTACACGTGTATACGTGGAGCGATTGAGGGATTGGTGTCGATGGTGACACTAAATTATGTCAAATGGGATCGTCAAGGTCGAGCGCCGGTTCCCTGATTCAAGCCGATCACCAGGAGCAGCAGCGGTCAGTATATATGTTGCCCCTGCCCGGGTATGGGGCTGGGGAGGGGGTCGTGTGGGGGAGATTTGGGGTACTGTACAGGGTACAGTACCCAGGAGTGGCCCCAGGACCAAAGCCTTCAAAAGATGATTTTATTGGTCTACGTGTACGCCAGGTGTACACGTGGACAATCTCCCTTTGAAGGGCGGCGGTCCTGGGAAGTGGAAGATGCTGGCGGCCCCTCTATAAGAGAAAGGGGCGCGCCGCGACACCCCGCGACAGGGGGGACACAACAGAAAAAAAACAACAACACGGGGACCGACCCCCCCCTCTTGAAATAAACATCTCGCTTTTCTCTCTCCCCTACGCGCGCAGCCCCCTTTTTTAGCTGTCAACAAGATAGAGAACATTGTTGGCTATCGCAAGCGCTGTCGTCGTCAGTCAACGGTCGACTCATTTTTTCCGAGCTCGTCACGTGAGTGACCTTACAAATTTTAATTAAAAATATACTTTTTCTACAGTGACCCACTGCAAATACGGGTCACTCAACAGGAAAGGTCACTGTAGTGAGGGGGTCACTGTAGAAAACGAAAGTGGGCTTTGTGGGCACACAGGGCAATGGCGGCAAGAATTTTCTGGCCATCGTTCACTGTACCGAGGGGGGTCACTGTCACGAGCGGTCACTGTGTCGAGATTTTTCTCTGTACAAAGAATCTTGCGTCTGACTCTCGCACCTCTCCCTTGCGGTGGCGAAAAGAGATTGTGCTTGCCATCATGCGAGATAAATTGCTGCAATGACATTTCCCCGTTCTCCTCTCCGGCGCTCCGCATGTTCCTCTCCTTAACGCGCAGTGATTCTGCCCCCCCAACGCTCTGCTTCGAGGCGAAAAAGAAAGCTGGGATATCGGTCCTCGTGGCGAAGCCTTGCCCCGTCCCACTCGGCGCACTTGTGACCTCAATGCAGCCCGAGAGCAGCGCACCCGGTAAGCACCATGGAACGAAGGCGAGCCCCGCCTCAAAGCATCACCGAAAGCATCACTGCAAGCACCACGGAACGAAGGCGAGCCCCGCCTCAAAGCATCACCGAAAGCATCACTGCAAGCACCACGGAACGAAGGCGAGCCCCGCCTTGAAGCATCACCGAAAGCATCACTGCAAGCACCATCGAGCGAAGGCGAGCTCCGCCCCGAAGCATCACTGCAAGCACCATCGAGCGAAGGCGAGCTCCGCCCCGAAGCATCACCGAAAGCATCACCGGAAGCACCATGGAACAAAGGCGAAAAAGAAAGCTGCCATATTGGTACCCGAGCCGGAACCCCAGCCGGAACCACTCAAGCCGAAGCCCTGCGCACTCCCCCTTGCGCCGAGGTCTTGCGCCGTCCCACTCGGCGCACGTGCGACCGCAACGCAGCCAGAGAGCAGCGCCCCCCCCTCGAAGCATCACCGAAAGCATCACTACAAGCACCATGGAAGGAAGGCGAAAAAGAAAGCCGCCATATCGGAACCCGAGTCGGAACCCGAGCCGGAACCCGAGTCGGAACCCGAGCCGGAACCCGAGTCGGAATCCGAGTCATTGTGCCTGTGCTCCTATTGCGACACTTCGGATTCCGAGTCGGAACCCGAGCCGGAACCCGAGTCGGAATCCGAGTCGCCCTGCCCCTGCCCACCCCACCCATTGTGCTCGTGCCCCTGTTCCGCCACTTCGAGTTCTTGAAAAAATTAGCAAGGTTTTCTCTGCAACCAGATTTACACCCAGGGTGCGCTTCGCTTATGAGGAGACACACCCACCGCCGGCCGGCCTACGGACCGCTAGGGTTCAGTCCCCAGTTGAGGTCCGGTCAGGACATAATTTGAATATAAAATCCCAAGCTGAGCTCCAGCTTGGGGGAATCGATCTCAGCAACTTTCTGAGGCTGCAAGTGCGGGGCCTTCCCGCACTGTCGGAGGCGGGGGGTCGGAAGGCGGATCGGAAAAGGCGTGCGCGTCAAAACGGAGCTGTAGTGCGGGGTGCTTCTGCTTGAGATAAAGGCACGCTGTCGTGACACGCCCCCGCAGTGCCAGATGCACCACTGGTCACCCTCCTGCCCGACTCCGCATCTGCGCCCATCCCTCCTCACTCGCTCTCCTCCCCGTCCTCCTCGTCCCCGCCGTCCTCCTCGTCCCCGCCGCCCTCCTCTTCCCCACTGCCCTCCTCTTCCTCGCCGCCCTCCTCTTCCCCACCGTCCTCCTCCTCCCCGGCGCCCTCGCCCGGCCCTTCCGCCTCCGCCGCCGCTCCGTCCGCCCCCCGCCTTGCATGCTCCGCCCACGACCCGACGGCGTGCCCCATCCTCCCAAGCGCGAAGCGCACGGTGCGCAGCGCCTCCTGCACGTGCACGGTCACGCCGACCTTCTTCATCCTCAGGCACGGGTCGAGCACCTGCCCGGTCTTCTGCCCGCACAACTCGTCGTACTCCTCGCCATGGTCTGCGCGTCGTCGCGCGTGCATGTCAGCAGCACCCACCCGTTAGACACACAGCGCTTGCTCTGAAAAAAACACCGCCCGCATCGTGTACGCCCGCATCGTGTACGCCCGCATCGCCACTTACCAGGGTGCAGGAGGCTCTCCAGCTCGTAGTACCAGATCCTGCACGAGTCCGCTAGCAGGCTCAGCGTGTAGTCGTTGTATCCCACCGGCATCATCTCGATCAACGCGCTGCCAACAAAATCAAACAAACAAAGCAAAACAAACAAACAAAACAAACAACGCGTCAGTCACTATGCTCACTGCACTTGCCGCACCGCCACCACCGCAACCACCGCAACCCACTTTCCGCACCGCCATCGTCTTACCTATGCCTGGGCATCCATATCTGCCCCATGCTCTGGCTCCCGTGCGGCGTGATAAGCACCCCGGCCCTCGCGAAAATCCGCACAAAGTCCTCGGCCGTATTCAGCTTGTCCGTCGACACCACCTCCACCTCCACCCCGTCACCCTCAAACTTCTCCCTGAGCGCCGTCTCCAGCTCGTCAATATTCTCGAGCGGTCGCGTCACGTGCCTCTGCAGCACCACGATCCGCTTGGGCGGCTGCGGGAACGCCGTCTGCCCGACCCGCGCAAAGTCGGGTTCCTGCACCCCGTACCGCTTGTACGCCTCCTGCCGCAGGTGCCGGTACACGCGCTCGTGCGCCCCGTTGGAGAGCTTCGCGCCGGCCGTGAACCGCGGCGTGCACACGAGGTCCGTCTCCTCGTCGTCGCGCATCTCGCGGCGGAACACCAGCCGCTCCCCCGCGCGCAGCTCCGGGAACGCCTCGAACAGCGGCGCGGCCTCCCGCTCCGTCGACCCCGCGTGCAGCTCTTCCCGCGTCACGTTCGGGTACAGCCGCCCGGGGTCCAGCCGCAGGATCAGCGCGTACGTCAGCCGGTTCACGTCGCGCGACGTCTGCGCCACAAAGTCCGCCGAGCCCTGCGGCAGGTACACGTGCCGCGCGCCCTCGGAGAAGGGCGGCGCCGGCCCGCCCGCGCCGCGCTCGTCGCGCGCCGCGGCGGGCTCGTCCGGCACCGCGCGCGCGTCCACGCTCCGCTGCCACAGCGCCACGTCCAGCAGCCACAGGATGTCCATGACGAGATGGTAGTTGTGGTTGTTGCTGACAAAGTCCAGGTCGACCAGCCAGAGCGAGTCGAGCCACTTGATGCGCGCGCTGCCCACGTCGGCCGCGAAGCCGCCGCCGGCGGGCCGCCGCAGCAGGCCGTCCAGCGTGCGGAACTCCGCGTCCACGCAGCTGCCCTGCGGCACGAACGTGTCCTCCATGATCGGCCAGTGGCGCGACGAGAAGTAGCGCGGGTCGGACGACTGGTGGCGGTAGCCGCACCAGTTGTCCGTGGGCACCTGCTCACTGTCCGGGCGCGAGTCGTCGACAAAGTAGACCTTCGGGCGGTCGAACTCCTCCTCCGTGGTGACGTTGACGCACACCAGGCCCTCGTACGCGCAGCTCTGCACGCCGGCGACGTACTCGCGGCAGCCGACGCGTGTGGTGGAGACGTTGCCCTCGGGCGAGTGCGCGCGGAGGTGGGCGACCCGTGTGGAGGCGGACTTGGCCGCCTCGGCACGCGCGAGCGACCAGGACGCAGTGGTGGTGGTGGTGGTGGCGTTGGACGGCGGGGTGACGAGCGAGAACTGCAGAATCGAGCGCGGCAGCGTGACCACGGTGGCGGAGAGATGGGCTGCGATGGCGGCGGCAATGACGATCGCCAGCCATGCCAGGCGCGAGGTCGTGAAGAAGGGCAGGGACGCCTCCTTGCCGCCTGGGCTGGAGGAGGTGGGGAGGACGGGGCGCGCCATGATCTAAGGATGTGGGGAAGGGGAGGGCGGGCGGCGACGAAGCGGCGACGAAGCGGCGGCGAAAGGGAAAGGCACAGAGACGTCGGCATGTCGCACGACGCGTCGAAGCGGTGGGCTTGTACTGTATACTGTGGTTTCGGCTGCGCGATGCGACGGTGTCGATGAGCGGTAGGTTGTATAATGTGGTTTCGGGAGTCGCGACGCGACGGTGGAGATGAGCGGTACTGTGAGGTACAGCGGCAGTGTCGGAGGCGTTTAAACGATGAAGGGGCACGATGAAGGGGCACGATGAATGGGGCGTGTGTGTGTACGTGTGCTGCAGCGCGTGGCGGATGCCGTATCGAGGCATGGGCGCGTTGGATGCCTTGTATAATGTGGTTTCGGGTGTCGCGGTGCGACGGTGTGGATGAGCGGTGTGGATGAGCGGTACGGTGAGGTACTTGTAAGGTTACGCCTCGAGGCATGGGCGCGTTGGATGACGCATGTTTTGGTGTTCTGTTTGTGGTGAAAAGGGGGTGCCTCCCGGGCAGGAGACATGGAGGAGAGGGGGAGGGGGGTGGTACAGTATATGTATTACGTAGCGATATCCAACACTTTTTGTGTCGCCGTTGGAGGACTGTACATGCCCGTACGCCTTATCATGGCGTGGCCCTATCCAGCCCCGCCCAAGTGTAAGTCCTTGACGCCTGCCTCGTGATATAGCATCGGCCCCTGTGGGAGAGACTCAAGACCTCTGGTCGTGTTTACTGGGGACATGAGCGACGACTGTAGCAAAAACCCCGCCTCACAGCTGTTACACTGTAAAGCTGATTAGATATCTTGATAAGTGCTCGTCGGGAGCACCCCCTTAAAATGAAACTCGGATTGGACACCTACTTGCCGATGTCCGAAGGTACCCCCCGATGGGCGTGAGGGACAGCCTGTCCGAGGCGAACACTAGATCGGCTAGTTCGTTCTGAGGAAATACTTCTCGTTGATATTCGTTGATGTTCGGTTGGTAATGGGTGAGGCTAGTCCTCTAAGCCCACACGAACTCAGACTTTTATAGAGTTCTAAAATCTAAGCTGGTACAGGAAACCGTGGCTTAGTAGCTCGGGTGAAAACCTATACAGCTCAGCAAAATACACAACTACCAATAAAACTACGTGTTAGGCAGTAGTTACACTAAATGTAACCATTACAGCAAGGATACTGTGCGCTGGATGTGTTGGCGAATTAAAGTTGCAACCCGCGTGCGGGCTGACAGCAAGGTACAGCGCAGTACAGCGCCGTTGCTTACACGTCCTCAACAGTTCCCGATAATACTAGATTACACTGGAAACGCCTTATACTTCATAATTCTTACACTGCCACCCTTTAAAAACCAAACACGTAGTCTTCATACTCATTCAATACGACGGAAGATCCATTGTTGAACTGGATTTTTGTCAAAACCAGTCTTCACGACTTCCTCCAAGGCCTTACATCTATTGACCTTTGTTAATCCATCAGCGATATTGTGCTCTGACAATACCAATCCCACGTTCGATATCTCGTGCTTGTTGTACGCTTCTCGGGATGCGGCTATGTCGATCATCAAGCGCTTCTCAGCTGTGTGGGAGGCCTTGGTTATCACGTCGAACATCTGCTTGGAATCGGTAAGCATCGTAATAGGGATCTTACGCTTGTAGAGTTTCTCCAATGTGTGTCGAATGGCAAACACATCATCGAACCCTTCGGCAAACGCGTAGATCTCCCCTGCCATGATTGACCTTACGACACGTTTGCATTTACGACTGGCGAAGTCCAAGACGTGACACCTATCCGAGGCATCACATAACAAAACGACATATCCAAGCTGCGACGAATGGTCGTCGTTGGTCGCGAAAGAGGCATCCGTGTATGCTCTAAGGTGAAGAGTTCCAAGATCAAGCGGACTGTAGGTTAGGAACAGGTCCAGCGAGGATCTAACACGGTGTATAGAACAGTTCATCTCTTCAACATGCCGCTTGGAGAAAGTTTCTTCAGTGACTTGAGCTGATCGATTGATCGCGCAGCAGACATCGGGTCTGCTGTGAGCTAGCCAGGCGAAAGATGCGCGAACTGATCTGAATCTTTCGAAGCTGACGTCTGTCGGAATCTTGCAAACCTTAGAGAGATGGTCTGGCTGCCCTACAGAGAACACTCGAGCTTTGCGTCCGTCAGCATGCATCCATGAAGTCCGAATTTGAGTTCCTAAGAACTCGACATTGTCCCATTCCCTGGGTCTAGAGTCAAACTTCAACCGCATGTCCTTAGTCAGCTCTTGAAAACCTTCATCTCCGCCAAGTAGGCAGTCATCTATATATGCACCAAGAAGTCCTTCGACGCAATTAGTACCGTTCTTCATGTAGAGCGACGGATCAGTCTCGAGCGGAACCATCTGCAAATCGGACTTGACGTGAGTGTCTAAAGTGACACTCCAGTAGTCTCCTGCGTCAGTGATACCATATAGAGCTCTCAAAAGCCGAAGCAGTTCTTGGTCAGTGACGCCAAAAAACTTTTGATCCTGCTTCTTCGGCTTGATGTAAATCTCCCTTGTCAATTTCTCATCGCTCTGGAGATATGCCTGAGTAACATCATGAGAGAAGATGCGAAAGTTTCGAACTGCACAGGTGGAAACTAGGATCTTGACCGAGCTCTGGCGCAGTGTTGTGACATTATGGACAATAAAGGGCTTTTCTTTGTCCCTGTGTCCTTGAGCAACGTAGCGAGCTTTGGCCTTTTCCTTGTCAGTTCCTTTGTTTTTCAAAGTGCAGACAAACCTCCCGCCGAGAATGTTCGCATCTTTAGAAACGTCCCACTGCTTTACCTTCATGAAAGTGCCTCTCGACGTCAGACCATCCACTTCCTTTTGTTTCGCAGAAAGGAATGGCTCGGTATCTTCTCTTTGATCACCTATCTTCAAGACTTCAGTCAGATAAGTTGGCAGAACTTCGTTGCACGGCTCAGAAATATCACCATGATGCTTGAGATCCTTGAAGCTAACAAGAATCCCCGTAAAGAACGTATTCGCGGCAACCATGGCTGGATCATTAATAGAAGCACCACCAATGTTTGAACCATAGTCGGGCGCATTCAGAGCCTGGATCTGAATTGAATCTGCTCGTAACGGTTGCTCAGAATTAACGGAAGGTATCCTATGCGGCTTGACCTTGTCAACAGAAAAAGTGCTATGACGACCGTTAACATCGAGTACCACTTGTTTCCCGTCGCAACTCAACACTCGAAACGGTCCACGCCATTCATCCGGTCGTTCACGATATACAAGTACATTACAACCTGCTTGGATTTCCGAATTTGCTGCTCCAGGTACATTACTTCTCCGTGCCGTAGAAAGACGAGCTCTCGCAACGTGCTTAACCATTTCCGACCTTGCGGTCTTCATCGCATTCATGCGTTCGCGTTGTTCCGGTAAGTCTTTTGTTGCTAGAGGCATCCGCGGAAGTACGCCGAAAACGAGGAGCATAGGGCAGAGTCCATTTGGCCCGGCTATTTCGTTCATGGACTTCACCGAAAGAGAGAGAGCATAGTCATGAGCTAGGTTGGGATGCTCAGCACGGACCTTACGATAGATCTGGCGAAGGAAGGAGTGATACCTTTCTCCAGCGCCTAGTGCATTATGGCTCTCGACACCGGATTCATCTTGACGTATTCCAGCCTTCAAGAGCAAACTTTTCCACCGTTCTGACGTGAACTGCGGACCTTGATCACAATGGACAATTTCAGAAAAACCGACATAGGGAATGACCCAGGAGCGCATGTACACATTCCAGACATCATCTGCTGTTTCGCCTTCGCTGAGGAATGCGGCAGCACTAAACAGGGTGTCTTTATCGATGATATGCAAAGTCGATTTTCCATCAAGTTTCATCAAGTCCATGTACACAGTTCTGTTGAATATCACGTCCTCATTTGGTAGAGCAACCCTGAAACGGCTAGGTGCTTTAGCAAGCCTCTGACATATCGCACAAGTCTGAGAGATGTCTTTCAAGGCGCGGTGAGTCTGCGGTGTTGCTTCGGCGTTCTCAGCTCTCTTCATTAGGTCGAAAACTCTGTCGGGGTTGGCATGGAAAAAATGACGATGGATTTTCGTCAACTCCGAAGACGTGTACAGAACTGATGACTTCCAGTTTAGGTACAAATGCCCGAGTTTCCGATCAAGGGGGAGTTTCCAACCATAACTTTTGCTGAAGAGCAATCCATCAGCAACGTCGACGACAGTTCTATATTCCGACATGATGTCTAGCCCCAGCAGTAACGGGACATTAATGTCGACTACGTTAACTGAGAGCTTTAGGTAGTGCAAATCACCGATGGGAATACGAATTTCGAACAAACCCAAACTGACATGCGACTGTTTGCCAAACATGAAATTTCGATCACCTTCCTGACCTCTAAGCACCAGATCCTGACTCACGAAGCGACAATATGCCTTTAGCTGTGGCATTCCGACAAAACTCTTTTGAGCTCCTGTATCTATGCAAGCTCCATGAAACTCTTCGACTTGTAAACTTGAAAATGCTTCTAGTTCACGAGCATCGCAAGCATAGATTGATTCCGTGGTGTCAGAGTCATCGGATCGTCTCTTATTGAGAGAAAGGCGACGACTCATTCCCTCAGAGGAAAATCCGGATGTTCAATATCGGTTTCCTCAGGAGCCGTGTCGTCCTCACCTTCAGGATCGAACACTCCAGCATCGTTTCCGTGGCTCTGGTCAATCTCGAAGACCTGCCCCAAGTCGTGCTGATCATCCGGATCATTCGTGTGTCCGGAGTCCAGCTGGGAGCAGAGTTCATAGAGCACCAGGTGGGCGGAAGGAGTCTGCTGGCGCTTCTTAGCATAGTACTCTAGTCGGCGTTTTGCGGCAACAGCAGCATTTATGGCTTTTGGACAGTCACTTATGCGATGATTAGATTCGCCGCAATTGAAACAACCCATAACTTTAAGTGGGTCATTCCTGCCAAATGTTTGTTTTGATTGCTGTGCGTGATAACCTTGCGTAGGAGGTCGAGTCCTAAGACCTTGGTGTCTGTTCAGGTATCGCCCTTGACTTTGGTACAATACGCCAGAGAAGTCGTCTTCGTTCTTCGCAGTCTTGACGGATACTGAGTCCCGAACCCTCGCTAGCTGTCCTTCCTTGGCAAGATGAAGTGCAGACTCTAACTCACCATATAACATCTGGAAAGACAGGTTGTGAGTAGCGATACGCGAAAGTGGTTCTGTAGCCCAGTCATATCCGACAACGGCTCTGCGAAGAAATTCCACCTTGTGAGCCTCGCCACGATGTGATTGCGGGACCTGCGGAGCAAGCTTTGTGATAACCTTGTATGTCTTCTCAAGGGCAGCAGAGGTTTCAAGTCCATCTGCAACAAACTTGGTCACACGGAGAGACGAGAGATAATTCTTGCACCGATCTTGGCGGACACAAGAATTATACTCTTTTTCAATCATCTCTACTGCTTGCGGGAACGTCGCTGCGTATGATTCGATCTTGTTGTAGAAGCGCTTTGCATCACCAGTGAATAGGTTATGCATATACTGAAGCTTCTGCGAGGAAGATAGGTCGTAGTCACTAGCGGCACGTGTGTAATCCGCAACAAAGTCGTTGAAGAACTCTCCAACTGCTCCTGAAAACTTCTGTCTCTCGTCCTTGAAACGCATTGCAATCTTATGAGCAACGCTAGCATCGGCGTTTGTGGTGTGAACGACGTCGGCAGACGGAGCGACAACTCTTGGCTCATTGGTCCGCTTTTTCTTTCCAGCTGCTACAAGCTCACGAGCAAATGTTTCGGCGATGTCCCGGTCTTCAGCTTCGTCATAGAGGCTTGTTGCTAAGGTGAGAGGAATCCGACGGCTACTGTGCTGAGTGAGGTTGGCACCATTGGTGTCAAGCCAAGTTCGAAGAGCACGGTGAGCGTACGGTAAAGCGTTGATCTCATCACCAAATAGTACGGCCGGAGGGAACATCTCGGCCACTGCGGCCTTAAGCTCCTCTGAAGAAAGTGGTCCAGATCTGATTTCATCGTCGAGCATGCGGACGGAGTTGATAAAGCCCGCTTGTGCTCGAGTCAAAGAAGCCATGTCCACCGAGTGGCAGAACAAGGCCCGATCCAACGGAGAAGCCTGCGACTGGGAAGCCATTTTGCTTCTATTCTGT